GCCTTGCCGCAGTGGCTCCATTGTATGGGTGAGGGTCCTTAATGGGCCAGCAAGCAGGCTAGGCAGAGCTAACACCCGTTTGTCTGGGATGTCACCCAGAAGCATAGCATAAGTTTGCCATACAGACAGTATAGAGCCAATATTCATAACTTTGACCACAAAACTGATACATACATATAGACAGCATAATCATAACCAGTAAACCATAACCTTGTCCTAGACACCCCATTTGACCCCCTTTATACAAGATTTGGGTGCCACTACAGGACCTTGGTTGCAACAATGATCTATATGGTCCCAGTTTATGTCAATAACGTCACACCCCCATCAGCCCCCCCAGCTCTGGGAAGGAGTCTTAGCCCATGGTTGTGAACCTGCCAGCGTCCGGGAGAGGAGCAGGGGCGAAGGGGGGGTCCTCGGGCCTCCCTGGCCACAGGGGCCGGGCTCAGCCTGGGGAGGGGCCGGGAGTCTCATGGGTTTGACCTTGGCCGCGGGGACTGCTCCTCCTCCCATCACCCACAGAGCAGGCGGCTAGCGCCGATGGGAGCCAGGCCCTGGCCCACTGGGCTCCCCGCTGGCTCTGACCCCAGGGGCTCTCCCCAGGAGCGTCGGGGTGCTGACCTACGTCATGCTGACGGGCGAGTCGCCGTTCCTGGGCGACACCAAGCAGGAGACCTTCCTGAACATCTCGCAGGTGAACGTGCAGTTCCCGCCCGACGTCTTCCAGGGCATCTCGGACCAGGCCATCGACTTCATCCGCTCCCTGCTCGTCAAGAACCCCAGGTACCCGCCGCTGCCCCCTGGCCTTGTCACGCCAGCCTCAGGGGCACGTGGCACCCGGGCCAGAGCCTCCTGCCAAGCACGCGCTCCCTGCGCCTGGGGAGGTCGGCCCTGGAGCCGGCCTCGCACGTGTCGCAGCTTCGCTGGCTGCCAGGGTGTCGCCCTGATGCGAGCGTGGGGCGGGAGGAAGGCTGGACTCTCGGGGGCGGCCATGCGGGAGGGGGGCAGTCGCAGGGGTAGGGCTGAGGACTCCTGGGCTGACAGCACTAATCCCCTCCCTCCTGCCTGCAGGAAGCGGGCCAAGGCCGAGCAGTGCCTGCAGCACCCCTGGCTGGCCCCAGCCCCGGCCCCGGCGCTGGAGCTGGCGTCCCCAGTGCGGGCTGAGTCGGAGCAGGCCCCGGCGAGGGAGGGCAGCAGTGGCCCCGAGGAGGACGAGGAGCTGGTGCTGGTGGCCTCTTACACGATGCCCTGCCCCTGCCGCCAGCTCGGGGGCTTGGAGGTGCGGGAGACGGAGCTGGCTGGGGCGCGGAAGCCGTTCCCAGCCCTGCAGGAGATCGCCCAGGAGCTGGTGTTCTGAGCCGACCGCTCGCATCCCCTTTGCCTGCTGCCTTGGAGAGCAGTACGCCGGACTCGCCCCAGGCCTGCCAGGCGCATTTCCGAGCCTGCCCCGGAGTCGGGGCCCCTGGACGCGAGAGGGACGGGCCCCTGGGAGCAGGCGCAGCTTTGCCTCGGTCCTGGGGGAGCCAGACGGGCGCCTGGGCCGCTCTGCCCCACAGCCACGGCTCCGGTGTACATAGCGCTGCAGGGGAGGACGGAGCCTGCCAGACGGGATAGGGTGGGTCACTGTGGGGGAGGGGAGCCCCCCAGCGTCAGTGATGGGGGACAGGAGCACCCGTTACCAGCAGGAGCTGGATGGGGGATCGCTGCCCTGCACGGCTGGACGAGGCGGCGGCTGCAGGAAGAGACCGAGCCCCTGTGACCTCTACAGGAGACAAACCCCATGGAAAAGCCTCGGGGGTCACCCCACAGCCCCACATTCAAACCGAAATCCGCAGCAGCTGCCAGTGGGAGCACAGGGCCCAGCGGGCCAGAGGCTGCTTCAGCACTGAACCCGGGAAGCTCCATTTGGGGGCTGGCCCTGTGGCACAAGGATGCCCCCCCCGCCCTGTTGTGGGGCATGGAAGGGCCCCACTGCCTGGCCCTGCCGCCCCCGGGCAGCTTACCCAAGCTTTGCCTCTGGTTTCTTAATTAGCAAGTTAGTTACTGGCCCCTTTGGGCTGGGGGAGGTGGAGGGCTGGGCTGCACGGACGTGCTGTTCTGTGCCAGCGTGCTGGGCACGGGGAGAGCCCTGGTGAGGGCAAGGGGCGGCTGGCACCAGGAGCTGACAGTGCCACCCGATTTCGCTGAGGGTCCAGGTGCCGATTGCAGGGTAAATGGGAGCAGTCCCCGTGCTGCCTGTGTTCACACCGTGGCGTCTGGCGGCCAGGCAGGGACTCGAGGGGGAGCCCCAAGCCGGGAGCTCCTGCCAGCAGGTGCCTGGCCCAGCAGAGGGGACAGCAGCCGGGGCCCGGTGCTCCAAGCTGCAGTCACGTCCGGCGCTGGGCGTTGCGGCTGCCCTGCAGGGTTAGCCCCAGGAGGGAACGGGCTGCCGGGTGCTGCCGCTTGCCACGTTGTTGCTTCGTTTTTTTTTTAAATAAAGGATTAAAGTTTCTATCTATCAAAATGTTGGCTCCTCCCCCAGGGGGTTCCCAGGGGCCTCGTGCCCCACACGGGCCCCACACTCTCACCCAGACAGGCACAGAGCCTAGCTTTCATGCCCAGGGGCTGGGCTGCAGCCAGCAATGGCTAAGGGAGGCTGCCCAGGGACACCCCAACAGGGCCCATTGCCTGCCTCTCCCCGGCAGACAGGAGCCTGGGCTCCCTGCGAGCTGTTGGGGTGGGTGGGGGGGCTGGGAGGAGCAGGTGTCCCAGGCCCCAGTGGCCTCACAGTCGCTGGCTTTGAAGGGAGCAGGTTGCAGGGGCTCCCCGGCCCCATTGGGGCTGCAGTTCCGGCCGGCCCGGGTGGGCTTAGCCCCGCCAGGCGAAGGCGCGGTGCGTAGGGCAGGTGCTGCGTTCCCAGCTGTGACGAGCTCCCCGGAGCGATGGCAGAGCAGGTGGCAAGTGACTCTTAGCCCCTAGTGCCCGCGGAGGGGTGGGGGGGGCTGAGCCACGCAGCTCCTAGCCTGGCGCGCCGAGCACCCGGCTCCCTGCTCGGGCCATGACAGCCCAGCGCCTTGGCTGCCTCACGCTCGCACCTGGCCAGTACGGTGCTGCCGGGCACAGGGGAGCTCAACAGCGTTTGCCGCTCTGCCAGGCGGGCATTGGTTCACCCCCTTCCCCCAGGATGCACCCAGGAAATGCCAGGTGTCCCTCAGGACATGCACATGGCAGCGCCAGGGGCGCCCCCATCTCAGCCTGCGTAGCCCTGCACAGCCCCGCTCGGCAAGTCCTGCTAGTACCCAGTGCCTGCTGGGCAGCCCGTCTCCATGCACCCCCCCCATGCCAGGGCCATGCAGCCCACGCACCCAATGTGCCCCCAACACCCCTCCCCCAACAAGCCAGGCAGCCTGCCCGGGGGCAATGCCCACAACGCTCTCACGGCCACATGCCCTTGGTGACTGGCCAGCGCCCCCGCAGCGCTTCCTGGGGGGGGCTGCGGCCGAGCACAGCATCTCTGACCCGCCCCGGGGGGCTCCACCTGGCACCAATAGCCCCCCGGCGCTGCAGCTGCCCCCAGGCAGTGCTTGCCTGTGGGAGCCCTGCCCCCTGCTCCCGCCCCATGGGGGCCACCAGCTGATTGGATGCTGCCCGCTCTGCCAGGAGGGAGGCCAATGCTCAAAGGGGGCAGGCAGCATGAGGCCCTCCAGCCCCCCGAGATTTAAAAATCCAAGCGAGCGAGGACTCCCCTGCTCCAGGGAGCTGGCCTCCCGGAGCTTCTCTGTCCCCTCTCCTCCCTTCCCCCCCCTCCCGTCTGCACTGGGCCTGGGTCCCGGCCGCCCAGCTCTCCCGGGGGCCGTTTTCACCCCATTCCTGCCCTGCAGCCTTTGTGCTCCCGCTGTGATCTGCCCCCCGCGCTTGGCTGGGCTGTGAGCCCCTCAGGGCAGCTCCCCCTGCCCCCGCCCAGGGAGCTGGCCCCACTGGGTATGGGGCAGCTCTGCACCCCAGGCCCCTTTGCCCAGCCCAGCCCCAGGGCGGGCAGGGGCGCCAAGGCAAGGCCCTGCTTTTAACAGGCTGCACCACTCCTGCCACCTAGCGAGCGCTCGGCAGCGTGCAAGGGCCTGATCCCTACGTGCCAGGCCAACAGCCCCTCACCCTCGGGCCTGGCCTAGCTCCGTCCTGCTGCCAAGGCGGCCGCGGCCCCTGGCCCCAGCCGAGGACGAGGGGCTGCAGCCGGGGATGGAGTCTGGCCCAGGGCTGGTCAGCAGAGGGCACTGCAGCTCCAGGCTGCGATGGGGCACAGGCAGATCCCCCCTCCTCTGCCCATTTTCCGGCTGACGCTGCCCTGGGCATTTTCATGGGAACCTGCAGGGGCAGCATCGCCCCCAGGGCAGAGCCGGTGCACAGGAGCCCAGCCCCCACCTCGCCCGTCCGTCCCCTGGCACCCAGCCCACCCCGCCCCCAGAGCAAGGGAATGGCGGGCCCCAGGCAGGAGCTGGCACCCAGCTCTCCGGGCGGCCGGGATTCCAGGGAGGATGCCAGGGCTGTGGCCACGCCTCGGCCCAGAGGAAAGGCCGGGCTCCCTCCTGTCTCCCTGCACAGAAGTCAGGGCTGGAGCCGGGTGCCATGGGGTGGGCTGGGTAAGCTAACCGACGGGGCTCTCTCGGGGGGACGGTGAGCGAAGCCCCCAAACTGCCCCTGCAGTTACAGCCTGTGACGAACTGGGACTGTTCTTACTGGGGTCTGTGAATGCTGACAGGGGAGTGTGGCTAGGATAGTCTGCATTGGGGGACGGGAGACTGACCAATGGAGAATACCTGAGCATCTAACATGAGAACCCAGGAAGGGGTTAGAGGCCAGGTGACACCTTTGCCCGGGAAACTGACAAAGGCTGGAGAGAGAGTTCAGAGCTGGCTGGTGATATGGCTGGGAGGCAGACAGGGCTCTGACCTCCCAAGGGGGCTGTGGGGCCCTGGGACCCCAAGATGGACCTAATGGGGGGAATCCTGTTGTCTGTGCCTGCAAGACCTGCCTTGGACTGTGTTCCTGTCGTCTAAATAAACCTTCTGCTTTACTGGCTGGCTGAGAGTCCTAGTGAATCGCAGGAAGCCGGGGGTGCAGGGCCCTGTGTCCCCCCACACTCTGTGACACAGCCTCCTTGGCTCTACGCCACCCGCCTGCCTCCCCCTTCCCCCGGGTTATTCCACATGGGCTTGGAGGCGCTGCACAAGGCTGCCCTACCTCTTGTCCCTTCCCCTTGCAGTGTGCAGGCCCCCCCAGCCGTGCCCAGCCCGCCAAGGGGCAAGGAAAGGTGGATTGATCTGCCAGCCCCAGGGGCCTCCCATCAGCTCCACCTTTAGCAGATCTTAGAAATGGGCCCCTGGGTGCAGGTGGGGAATAGGGGTGGGGGCTTCCCCCGGTCTGCCAAACCCCATGAAATGGCAGGGCAGAAGTTGAGATGCAGGAAACCCCCCTGCAGCCCTGTGGGGCTCCTGTCCCCTGTGGTACTGAGGGCAAGGTGGGGCATGCACCCCCCTCCCCAGCGTTAGGGCGGGGCTGCTGCCCGTTGAGAGGAGCGGGGAGCAGGGCTGTGTGAGATGCCAGTGGGCGAGTGGCGCTGTACTCCAGGGCAGGGCGGGGCCCGGGTGCAGCGTGTCCTGCCAGGGGTGGTGAGCCCGGTGAGGAGATACAGACTGTCCTGCTCTCTTCCCAGCCCCCGGCCTCCTATTTCCAAACGCTGGGCTCCAGGCCAGGGCATTCCTCACGCTCCCGGGCCCTGGCCAGTGCCCGCAGTGGGAGGAACACGAGAAGGGGAGGCCTGAGAAGGGAGCGACGGCACAAGAGGCTGCTTTCGCCCACAGCTCCTGGCCCCCAGGAAGGGGCTTACGGGGCCACTCACCCAGCCCCATTACCTGGGGGCCTGCCCGGAGCAGAGCTGCCCCTTGCTGCCATGAGGCTAATGCAACAGGGACCATTCTCAGACGGGGGGACAAGGAGCCAGAGAACCCCCCCCTTATGGGGGCCAGGCTAGCCCTGCCCCCCATGCACACCCCAGGGCAGCGGGTCACGGTTCTCCAGCTGTGCAGGCCTGAGTGCTGGCCCGGCGGATGCTGGGGTCTCACCCAGCCCAGAAAGGGGAAGGCGCTGCCAAAGGCCAGGCCCAGACCCACCCGGGCACTCAGGCCCGGCCGTCGCAGACTGTTCTACCGAACGCAGCTGGGGGGCGGCCCGTTGGCGTGGGGGGGAAGGGCCTGCAGCAGCTGGGTGTGTTGGAGGGGGACGCGGCCCCCCAGTACGATTGATGGCCTGTGGGGAGCTCAGCCTCTGGCTGCGTGGGGCCTGCAGTGCTGAGAACACGGCCGGAGGAAGGCGGGACGACTGTTAAAGACAGAGGGGGGCACGCCCCAGGGGATGGGTTAATCTGGGGCTCACAGCGGTGCTGCTCCTGCAAGCAGCCAGCAAGCAGCTGTCAAGAGAGCTGGTGCCCCTCTGCCAGCACTGGGGGGAGGGGGCAGGGCTCCACATTTGCTCTAAGAGCAGAAAACAGCAGGAACAGAGTAAAAGTCAGTGGGATCCTCCCCTGGGGAACCGAGCACAGACCGGAGACCCAAGGAGATGGGTGAAAACGCCAGTGCCATGGGGCCAGCAAGCACCAGCCACCCTCAGCCCCAGGATGCAGACAGGGTTAGTTAGCCGAGGGGAAGTGAGTCCCCGGAGAGCTGCTTTTCCCCCTGCCAACTCCCTCGCTGGACAGGGTGGGGGTGATGGGTGCCTAGGAGAGACTGGCTGGACAGCAGGTGGGGGTGGCCAGGAGAGAGCGGGGGGGGGGGGTGGAGAGGAGAGAGAGAGTGTGGCTGGATAGCAGTTTCCTGAGCCCCCAGGCCCAGAGAGAAGGAAACCCAAGGAACAGCAAGTCTGGGGAGAGGTCAGGGCTGCCCCGTGATACCGATGGGGCGCATCTGGCTGCATAGCCCGGGGCGCACGCTGGCCAGGCTGACCCGTTCCAGGCAGAGCCCCGGGTGGAGGCTTCGCTCTGGCTTTCGGAAGAGACTGGCTAAGGGCACAGACAGTCCTCGCTCTAGCCAGCGCTCAGCACGGTCAGCGCACTGCCCTGGTGCCAGCTGTGGCTACGGCACCCCCAGCCGGAGGGCACGGGAGGTGGACGCTGGCTTGGGAAGCCAGGGCGGCAGCACAGGCAGCTAAAGGGGAAGGAGGCAGCGGTTGGCAGCAGGACTCTCTCGCCAGGCCTGGTTTCTGGTGCACGGGGCAGGATGGTCACTGTTAGAGAAGCAGCCCGCTGGTGGTTTTTTGCTCCCAAGGCTCCCCCTGCCCGGCCTTAAGGGGAGTCCCCCCCCAGCGATGAGATGACAGCCAGCAATGGCTCGTAGTGCAGGCAACCAAACACCCTTCCGCAAGGTAAGCGCAGCCCAGCTCCCCTCAGGAGCCAGGCAGTGGAGGGGGGGGGGGCACAGGCACTGACCGGCCCCTGCCAGCCAAGTCAGACCTATCGCTCCAGAGCGGTGAGGGGAGAGACTGGCACGGCACTGGCGCCAGGCAGAGCCACGAAACCACCTGCGTACGTTGACCAGAGGCATGAAGAGCCGACGCTGCTTGGAGGGGAGTGCAGGGGTCAGAGTTACCAGAAAGAAAGTACCTGGGGAGGGCCCTGCCTGTGCCAGGGTGCAGGGTGAGCAAGAAGCCCTTCCCCCAGCCCCATATCCAGAGCTCCAGGTTGCACCCTCCTGGGCCGGACCCTCCGGGCTCACAACAGCCAGAGGCTGGCCCAAGCTGCAGCATTTTTGACTGGAAAGATCTCTGGCCACAGAAAGACAAACACGGGGCTCAGCACAACTCAGCCCTGCCCCTCCATGGAACGCAACGCCTCCCCGACAGCCTGGAGGAAACACACTGCCCTTGCAGGCTGGGAACCAGCCCCAAGCAGCTGGGAGGCGTTCGGCTCAGGTGAGAGGTTGGGCCCAGGGAAGGATGCCCTTGCGGGGCTGGGACCACCTGCCCTTCGAGGAGAACAGAGGGAGCCCCCAGCCCCAGGCCTGTTAAACACCAACCCCCAGAATCGCGTCCCAGAAGGATATCAAAGTTGACCTTTCAGCCCCCACGGCCAAAGGCTTGTTGGCAGCGGCTAGTCTCTCCCCTAGCAACACTCCAAATAGCCCCAAAAGCACTGGCTGGGGAGGGGCAGAGCGACCCCCACGTACCTGCGGAGGTGGACGGGTCTAGAAGAGGACTGACCAGTGCTGTTCCCTGCTCTGCACCTGACCTGTGGCAGACCACCTGCTCTGGAGCTCAGGTCTGGATTCCCAATTGGGCGCTCTAGTAAACAAGTACCATTTTATTAAGCAGCTGCACCTGTCGGCCCCCGCCTGGGTTCCATCACTCACTACGGGATGGAGGCAGCGCTACCCAACCGCATCTCGGTGACCCTAACATGGCCCAGCAAGTGCCTCCTGGCCTCTGCCCCCAGTGCCCGGCTAGCAGAGAGCAGCTCCAGGCGGAGAGGAACGGGAAGGCCCTGCCACGCGCTGGAAGGAATAAATGCAGACAGCTCAGGTTACACTCCACTCCAACAATGTAATGTGTAGGGTGAGTCGCGACAAAGCCAGCAGGGTAGTTAGTGTTACCGCGTGGGCTGCAGACCAGACTTCATTTCCCCTTGCACTGCGCACAAAACAGGATTGTAAACACACAGTAAAAACAACATGTAAACAGAATCCGGCTCAATTACTGCAAATCCCTGTGCGCCTCCCACCCCGGGATAGTTACACAGACTGTGGCTAGAAACACCCGGCTGGACCTGTCTGCCCCACCCAGCCTCGCTCAGACATTCGGGCTGTTCCTTTTCATTCTCACTGCGCACTTTTCTTACACCACTTCGGTGAATCCTGCATTTCATGGCATTTTCCTATTGGATGGCCACTTCTAAGCGATTCCAGTCATGATTTCATTAGTATCTATCCCCCCTCCCGCCCCCCCCCCCATACAGTGCATCTGTTACAGCAGGCTGTGCAACACAGAGGGCTTAAACACACATTCACACCCCGCACAAGGGGAACAGGCACCTGCTGCCCTCCGAGTGACCCTTAAACCCTGTTCCCACAGAGGCCATTGCAATGAGGCCCAGCCTTTGCCCCCTTCACAAGGTGACTTTGGACAGGACAAGTGCGGCCGTGCCTGGGAGGTTCTCTGGGGCAATTATCTGCCCTCTAACACTTGATCGGATGTCCGAGTGTGTGTGTGTTACTTAGCACGACCAACCCTCAGAGTCCCTGGAATAATCGGATTTTACTAACTTCATTAAGCAATAGTCAAAGGTGCACATCTGACGGCCCGGAGCCCGTCCTTCAGCCCCACCAAGCCGGCAGGGAACGCAATGCCCACGGTCCGCAGAGCGGCTCCTATCACTCCCCTCCACTCCACTGGGAGGAGAAGAATGTGGAGTTTCATGTGGGTTTGGTAACATTACCAGCCACTCCTGCACTTGGTGTCCAAGTCCCAGCGACAGCATCATACAGCCCAGCCCCAGAGGGGCGGCACTGATGAACAACAGACTTTTCGGAACAAAATGCCAAGAGTTCACTCTCCTTGGTTGCATGATCGCTAAGAATAGGCCAGCGTTGGCAGAGGGCGAGATACAGACACAATCGCAATGGAGCCTCTGAGACCAGAAGAAATGAGAGAGGTTCCATGGTAGCAGATGCAGTTATCTGTGCACACGTACATGTGACAGAGAAGGGAGAGAAACACCTTCATGACTATAGACTGCAGCTCCAGTAGGGACCAAACAAATGCCCAGGATTTCCTGCTTCCACCACTCCGATCCATTATGGACTGACATCACTGACATCTGCCCAGCCCTCCCACACCACACAGACCGTCACCAGTTCAAGCACGACTCTGGCACTGATCTAGTCACAAGGTCTCTGAATCCAGGGCCTGGCTCTCTAGGTCAGCCGGAGCTGGGAATTTTGTGGAAGCCCAGCGTTTGGCCCTTGAGGGAACTGAATAGCCCAAGGACCCTGCCGGGTTCTCCACTTTGCCAGCAGCCCAAACAGCACTGACTGACCCCAGTCCCAGAGAGGAAACAGAAAACACTCCCTGCCCCACTGCACCAGCCCTGGGTTTGTTTGGCTTGCATGCCTGGGCTTTTGGAGAGTTACGGGGAAGCAGGTACATTCTCTTGGCGCAGACAGCAGGGCAGACAAACTGCAGCCCCCATAACACCACAGACGGGCAGGCTGCAGGGCCGGGCTGTGCCCGGGTAAGCCGGTCCCTGCTGACAGGCTCTGGGGGATGCTCCCCAGGTTACAGTTGAGCATGGGTGCTGGTTTAGGTAAGTTAGGTGCAGACCGTGGTGGGCACATGCCTGTGTCGAGTTTGAGAAACGCTGGGACATTGCTGAGGAAACAAGAGACTCGACTCCATGGGCTGAGAGTACAGGCAGGGCTGGAAAGTGAGAGCGGACCCTTCCGCGAAGCGTGTCAGAACCCATCTGCCCAGATCCCCTAGCACCAGGCAGGAATGCTGCAGGCTAGAAACGGCAACTGCAGGAGGAAGGAGGCTACAGTGAATTGACAACAGCCGGGGGAGGAGAGTGGGCTCTGTTGCCCCCGGCTCCCTGAGCTAGGACGCACCCAGCAGTATGGTGTGAAGAAAGCACCATTCACAATCCGCGAGAACAGATCACTCACGCACAGTAAGAACGCTGCACATGTGGAAGCAAGAGGGACTGCTCTGGGTTGCACATGGCCCCAGCTTTCCCCACGACCCCTCTGTGCATCAGTGGATCTCAGTTTGTTTAAACAGGCAGCAAAGACAGACTCTTCCCTCTAAATGCTTCCCTCTCAGATTAGCTGGGCTACGGGCAGGCCGAAGTTTGCACGTCCTGTTCCTAATGCAATAGGAGGCTGTATTTTCCCCTCAGTGCTTTACGGGAATCTGCCAAGGAGCTAATTACTGTACAATATCATAAACCGATACATGATTAAATACACCAAGTCCAGACACTTCCTCTACAACCCCCACTGTAAACATGTACAGCACTAAACAAGGTGTTTGCTCGGGGCGGAAAGCAGTGACTCCGAAGCGATGTCAGCTAAGCTTGCTACAGTGACGTCACAGCTCTCCACTTAGCAGCCTCAGACAGATACTTCGGGCAGCTGCAATAGAAGTTATTTTCTCAGAAGCAGCACATCATGGCAGGGGAGCTACACACAACTTCACAACACAAACACACAGGGGACAAGGGCTAACCACAGCACAACACACCAGCGTTCGAGTCTAACACTGCTCAGTTAGGCTGAGGGGGGCTCTAATCGTCCAATTTTCCTTCACGGATGTTGTCAAATGAGAACGGGAGGAACTTGAATCCAGTGCCAATGTAGAACTTGTTCTGGAACTCAACCCTGCAAGAGAGACAGAGAAAGAATGATCATCAGCAGCTACTGACAGTGTCAGAAGCAAAGTGGGGGCTGGCTACAACCCTGCATATTGGGACACGCAGATGAAATGAAGCTTCCAGGAGGAGGGAAGGGATCAGGACCCAACCGAACTATTACAGATTTCTCCTCTCCCCCAGCTCCTGGGCAGAATGGAGAAAACACTGTCAAAATGCTGCTTTCATGGAGAAAGATCAATTTTAAACGAGCAACAAACATGGGGGGAAATCCACGAAGCTGGTGTCACATGGAACTATTTAGAGGACAACGAAAGGAACACACGTCTCCTACAGGATATTGTTTCTAAAAACATCATGTTCTATAGATTACATTTATACACACGCTGATCTCATGGTCTTACGCTGGGGCTTCCCATGGCAAAAAGACACCCCACAAACCCCACCGGAACACTGAAAGAACAAACAAGTGAAAAACATCAGCAGCAGCTGTGTACGTCTGCATTTCCTTCAGGCTGAGGGCTGTAACAATGCCTGCTGTCCTCGTCTCTCACCTTAGTCATTACATTTTTCTTGAAAAATTAAAGAGAGATTGGACCAACACTCAGGGGCAATCTAGAGACCCCCTCTGCTCCAGCCCTCGGGAAGGGCCAGAATGGTTCTCTGTAGAAGATTCTTGAGGGCTTTGCCCAGTTATGCTTTAAAACACCCTGTGTAACTGAGTTTCCACCAACTTCCCTTGGAAAACTGATAGACCACACCATTAGGACATTATCCCCAAACAAAGTGGAGATGATCAAACTTCCCTCTTCACACCCTTTGCCCGTCTTGGATGGAGCCCTGCACCCAGGGGGAGCCTGCTGTAGGATCAGGGCCTTAGACCAAGCCTGGCACAATGGGGCTCTGATCCCAGTTGGGGCTTGGAGGTGTTGCCGTCTTTGACCTGAACTAGTGGTTTTCTCAGAAACCTGCCCAATTCTCAGTCAGCTGCAAGTCGCTGTATTGGGAGCCCTCATAAGCTTCAGGCACAGTTATTACTGAAGGCTCTGACACGGTCCCCAGCACATTAGAGAAGTGAGCGAAATGGCCTTTCCAGGTTCTGACACCCTCCCATCAGAGCACTTGGTCTCCCACAGATTGACGCCAACATGCCGTCATGCCAGTAAGTCCACATGACCAATGGTCGCTCTTGCTAAAGTCCTGGTCAGGATTATTTCAAAACGGTACAAATGGGGACAGGAATATTACAAAGTCCCCCACTCCCACAGACTACAGAAAACGTGCTACAGCGAATGAAACATTTCACATTTGAACTTTTCTTATTAAATACTTTAGAAAGTGCAGGGGAGGGAGAGGGAAGTTCTAGAGCCGCCCCCCCTCCCCGTCAGTCAGTCGTCTGGGGTTAGTTGTTGAAGCACATTTTCCCTGGCCCTCACGGGGTGCTCCTGGAGAAACAGAGATATGCACGTTATCTCAGAACCTCGGCATTAACTTCGCTTTTTCGTTTGTTTTCCCTAATAAACTAAATTGGAAAGGAATGACCCTGGACAGCTGCCTGAGGGTCAAACACTGCCAAATATGGAAAGAAAAAACATGATTCATAATAAAAACAAATGTAGTGTTTGTGTGCCCCATGAGAAACACTTTCCATTCTCCTGTCCACTGGAACCAAATCGGCACTCTGAGGAATCAGGTGACTCTCCCAGGAGCTCTAGCAGAGAGATTTTTCAGCATTATTTTAGGAAACATTTTACATGACGAATATTTTTTAAATGGAATGAACTGAAAAATGTCTCAAGGACACTGGGAATGTTCTTTGGAAAGCGATCAAACTCGAGAAGTCCTGAGCGACTACCACAATACAGCTCGCAAAGTCACTGACGGCCCAGTCTGCAAAGATGACACTCCTGACACAGCCAAAGAGTGAAGCGTTCAGACAAACAACATTTTGCGGATAGATTCTTCTGCCTGCCTGTGCACACAGGGACCAAGTTCTCTGCTAAGGAGTCCCTGGGATGAGCAAGAGTTTCCGTGTGGGAGTGAAAGCTTCGTTGCCAAGGTCCTCGTGTTTTGCAGGAACCCTGACAATAAGCGCCCTGTGACTAACACCTATTCTGGAAGCAAGGGGAAATAAGAGGGGAGAGGGGTGAGCATTTGGGTCCCACACAGAATCACAAGTAGATGAAACTGTAACCACGACTGCTAATCTTTCTGATCCCCCTGCTCAGGCAGCTCCTATCAGGCATGCTCAAAGTCCTTGTCACAACCTCAGGTAACCCGAGTCTAAGAGGAGCTGCTGCAGCCCGGGAATAGCGGGGTTAAGTAGATGGGGATACCAGGTCCCTTTCATTTCACAGAACTCCAAAGCCGAACAAAAGGAAGTTCCTGATATGCTTCTTCGCATTTGCTCCCAGGAAGGTCCAGAGCACACGGCTCTGCTTTGCAGCAAGGATGCCTGCTGCTCCCGGGTGTGCTTGCTTCACTGCATAACTTTGTAGAGTGTCTCTGGTTTCTGATCAAGTGCCATGCAAGAATTCCCTAAATCGTTAGCTCTGCACTGCAAGTAAACAGGGACTTTTCTGGTTTGTACTAAAGCCACGGACCTTCCCTCTCAGGGTTTTCCTATTAACAGGCCTCTCCAACCAACTGCTCGTTGGCACAGCGTGCCTGGGGATTTTCCCATGAGATCCCCAGGAGCTGCAGGGGTCACAGGTAAAGTGCTTTCCCCAACCTGAGAGCATCTACAAAGGCGTTTCGTTACGCCACGAAGTCCAATTTTCATGCTTGTGTATAAGCTGCAGTGCACCATCCAGGTGCCTAAGTGGGTGCTGAAGTGTTGATTTAGGAACCTAATTCAGGGCCTGCCCTTGAAAGAGGCGCCTCCTTTGCTTTGAAGTCAAGTGGCCCTTGCCTGTGGTTAGATTCCTCAGGATTATTCGGCCAGGCTTTATCTTCAGCATGGCTGACCGCCCTTCCCACACGTAAGCGAAACGGCGATACCCTTTTAAAGCTGTCGTACGCAGCTTATGGTCACGAGATTTGCCTGGAGCTCAGGGCCTTTTACAAACTCAAAACAACAAATAGTTGTGAACCAGTGGGCGGGGATCTGGGTCTCACTACACCCACGTCTGCCCACTGGATTCCAAGCCGAGCAGGACTCCAGCCCATCCATGCCTTCTGAAAAGTAATACTCCCCCTCTGGAGACGGAATACCAAGAGCTTTGCAGGGCAGTCGGTGTGCGCCTGTCCATCCAGCCCGACCTTAGTTCTCAGTTTACAGCTCAGAACAGCTGGCCACAAAGCAGCCCATTAATATTCCGTTTTATTTGTTTTTACACAGCTGTTTGCGGCTTACCACGCTTGTGGTGTATGAAGTCTATTTTGATGTCACCACCCAAAACTGTGACCCTCCCCCCGGGGACCCCGCCATTTGGAGCGATCCAGACATTGTGAGACTCCGAAGCAGTTGCATGCAAGAAATGAATGCTTCACAGCCAAAAGGGATATGTAAGATCCATGTCACTGCCCTCCAATGGGTGAGCAGCAGCACATTCTATGAGCATTTGTGAATCAGCGGCATACGGCTCAGGCAACACAGAGCACGAAAAAATGCTCTCCCCATGCCTGGAAGAGAAGCACCCTGAGCTGCAAGCATCTGCCATCGGGGTTGTCTTACACACTCAGAAGAAAGAATACAGACTTGGTGAACAAAACCTTCGCCAAAATGACACAATTCACTATAAAACAGCTGACCTTCCCCAACCTGGACTAGAGCAGGGGTTCTCAAACTGGGGGTTGGGGGTTGTGAGGTCATTACATGGGGGGCTGCGAGCTGTCAGCCTCCACCCCAAACCCCACTTTGCCTCCAGCATTTATAATAGTGTTAAATATATTAAAAAAGTGTTTTTAATTGATAAGGGGGGGGAGTCACACTCACTGGCTTGCTATGGGAAAGGGGTCATTAGTACAAAAGTTTGAGAACCCCTGGATAGAGTATTGCTGGGGTGATGGAAATGGGTCTGGGACTCCAGCGTGGAAATGATCTGGAATTAGCTGCTCAGGCAGTGCCTGGTCGTTGTACTGAGTTCCTGCAGCACCAACAACTAGGCAGGTTAAATATCGCTCAGAGAAAGAGTCTGCACAGCTGACTCCATCTTTAATTGCGTTTCCTACAATAGTTGCAAGGACTTGGAATCTCCCACTTCTGTAACTTTAACAATACGTTTGAGATGGTGGTGCAGATGCGTGGCAGCCGGTTTACGGATGAGGTGTACCATCCACAGGGTGCTGCGTGGGGTTAATTCACTGGAGTCAGGGATGGGTAACAGGTTGGGAAAAATGGATGCTTGAGTGACCTGAGCCAAGTCCGAATTGTATGGTTGCCCTGGAACATTAGCAGGTTGAGATCCATTAGTTCTAGTGCTTCTCACACCCTCGGCCTGAAGCTGACAGCGTGGCTGCAGAGATAAGCTTCTCCCCTGCAACAAATGCCAAGCCAAACTTTCAGCCCCCACCCCATGAGCTGACCTGACTTCTTCTATCCGAGACATGCTGCTACCCATCCGTTCCACACAGAACCCAAGGAGTGCTCCTAACCCTGGTCACAGGGAGCTTCCACACATCCCTCCCAACTGGAACACACCAGCATCCTTCAGCGACTTCCTGGCCAACTCCACAGCCACCCCGCCATTCTAATGGATAGGAAGGGGAAGCTCTCAGTCCCACTCAGCCCTAGAGCTCTGTTTGGAGAACTGCTTCCCCCAAGAAGGCAGCTCCACAAACACCCAGAAATGCAAAGCTAATTTATAAATGCCAGGTCCATGAGGGCTGACTGATCACAGGCCCTTGTCACTAGATAAGCTCTCTCTCTCTCCAAGGTTTAGGAATAGGGGTTTCAAGGGAGTGAACGACATGCCCGGCTGTGTTTAATCTAAACAGCGATGCCACAAACTGTATTAATGAAAAGCAAATACAGAGATAAAGGAGACGTTTAAAACAAGCAGCCAAGTT